CATTCTACCTCCTCGCCTCCTTCCCCTCCTCCTCCTCCTCCCTTCGTACTCACGCCTGCCACACGCCACACGCCGCACTCCCAGCACCACCTTCGCCACAACGTAGGCCCCCTTTCGAGCGAGTACGCGCAGCGGCTACACGCGTCAAAAGTCGTACTCGTCGCTTGTCTCCGAAGGCGAGGCAAACGTAAGAACGCCTGCCGTGGCTGCGAGAAAGACCTCCGAACCTAAAGAGAGGAGGAACGCCCCGGTGGTGATGCTGCCGGTGTGGTACAACACACAGCTCAACGCCGGCCCGCTCACCGCAAGGGCGCCGCCGAGGAAGAGGCCAGCGCCGTCGAAGAGACTCTCCTCCGTGAAACTGCCCTGCGGGCGGCCGCAGAGCAGGAACGGAAGCGGCGTGATGAGCGAGAGCATCAGCGGCAGAAGCGGCCGCGCATTCTTCTCAGCGACAGCGGTACACGCGAGAATAGCAAGGAGGAACGCCACCACGAGGAGCATGGCGGCGAACACCAACGCGCGCAGTGTGGCCATCAAATCCCCCTTTTCTCCTTTTTTTTTTGTTTCCCTCACGTCTTGTTGCTATTACCTTTCGTCGGTGCCCACCACNGCCATCAAATCCCCCTTTTCTCCTTTTTTTTTTGTTTCCCTCACGTCTTGTTGCTATTACCTTTCGTCGGTGCCCACCACCTCTTCTCCCTCCCGCTGCTGCACTACTTGACGTAGGGTATGTATATGTATATATATATATTATGTATGTGTATGCGGCACCTCGTGTGGGCAGAACGTGTAGGGCTCCTCCAGGGCACGATCAATCCGTCTTTTTTTCCTTTTCTCTCTCACTTTTTTTGTTTTTGTTGCTGCGGCGCAGCAGGCAGACACGAGCGAGGGCGAAGAGGAGACCCGGATAGGTCGCACACGCACACACACACACAGAGAGAGAGAGAGAGCGAGAGAGAGGCGTGGGGGAAGTGTGCGTGGGAGGGCGGCGGCGCAAACCGCTCCGGCCGCCGTCGAGCGAGCAACAACATCAACAACAACAACAAACAGCGGACACAAATAAATAAATAAATAAATACACCATCTCATCAAGTGTGCGAATATTGGTCGAGGGTCCCCTCCAAACAACAACAACAGAAAAGAAACAGTGAATGAAACATTTCCCTCAAATAACAAAACGAAAAACGAATATGGGCCTGGTACAGTTATTCAATGCAAACTACAACAATGTACCGTGTGGATGAGATCTCACAGAGGGTGACGTGCCAACACACAAATGAACGAACACAAGCCACAGTTATCACCCAGTGTTGTCGCGATAACGCCGCTCGAGGTGCTGGCGGTAGAAGTTCGGGTTGAGCGGCTCGCCGGTGGCCCTTCGGAGCAGCTCCTCTGTCGTGTACGTGGAGCCGTGGCGCCATATCTTTTCCCGCTGCTGCTCGAGAATGTTGTCGAGCTTGCCGCTGCGGATACAGTCGTCCACCACGCCGTCGCCGAGCTCGCGCCTGACGGCCGCCATCAGCTGTGCGGCGATCATCGCCCCCAGCGAGTACGTCGGGAAGTAGCCGCAGTAGCCGATCGACCAATGGATGTCCTGCAGGCATCCGTCGGCGTCGTTGCCGAGCGTCTCAAGGCCCAAGTAAGCCTTCATCTTCTCGTTCCACACCGCCGGCACGTCCTCGACGCTCAGCTTCCCCTCAATCAGGCCGCGCTCCACCTCGTAGCGCAGAATGATGTGCATCGTGTAGCAGAGCTCGTCCGCGTGGATGCGAATCAGGCCAGGCTTCACGCGCTGCGTGTAGCGCCGCATGTTCTCCGGTGTGAAGGCGGGCTGATCGCCGAACAACTCTCGCAGCTTCGGCGCAATAAACTCCATGAATGGTCCAGATCGACCAATCATCTTCTCCGCAAAGAGCGACTGACCCTCATGCACGCCAAGTGAGCGGGCGCTCGCGACAGGCTGCGACGCCATCTCCACTGGGCCACAGTTCTGCTCGTACTTTGCGTGGCCGGTTTCGTGAATCACAGCCATAAGACCCGTCTCAAACTGTGATTCGTCGTACTTTGTGGTGACGCGCACGTCCTCCTTCACGTTGCCGCAGAAGGGATGCGTGCTAAGGTCCTGTCGCCCCGCCTCGAAGTCGAACTTCCACACATCCATGCAATACCGACTGAGGGCCCGCTGTGTCTCAATGGGGAAAGGACCAACAGGCTCAATCGTCACACCTGTGGCTGCTTCTGCCTCCCGCTTCGCCTGCACCTCGCGAATAAGCGCGGGAAGCCACGACTTGACGTCGCTAAATATGTCGTCGAGGTGCTGAAGCGACATACCGGGCTCGTAAAGATGCAGCAGGGCTTCGTACGGGTGCTTCCCGCTGTCACCCGCGAGTGCGGCGCCGATCTCCTGAAAAAGCTGGATCAGCTCCTTGAATATGGGTTGCCACAGGCTGAAGTCGTTCGTCTCTCGACTCTTGCGCCACACCTGCTGGGCTTTGTTCGTTAGCACTGCCTTGCGTTGTACGAGGTCGTCAGGAATGAGATTCTCCCGCTCCCACTCCCGCTGCATCTCGCGGAGGTTGGCACGCTGCAGCGGCTCCAGCTGCTGCTCGTCCTGCCGCGCCTCCTTCAGCAGCGCGGCGGCCTTTGGGTCGGTGAGCAGCTGGTGGATGTGCAGCTCGAGCTCCGCGAGGGCCGCGCCACGTGCAGCAGCGCCGCCGGGTGGCATAATCACCTGCGTGTCCCAGAAGCTCAGCGCCGCCAAGTGGCGGAAGCGGTATATCCTAGTGAAGATTTTCTCAAGTTCCACGTATGCCTTCATTTTCTTTTCCCCCGTCTCGATTCCGCTTGTATTTTCCCTATTCGTTGGGGTTTGTCAGCCGTAACTGAAGCGCAACCGCGGGGTTGCAAAGGGAGAGAGAGAAAGAGAGAAGCAGTGGGAGAAAGATAAATGCGTCGAAACAGCAACGCGGTGCTGCAGTCCAATTCCTTCACCCCAGACAATTTCTGCGCTTGTCGGTGTGCAGTTATATGTGTATGTGACCCGTTCTCATTCTTGTTCTCCCGTGGCGAGTGACATCAGTTTGTCCCGCACCTCCCGCACGAATGCCATGCGATCCGCCGCACTCTGTAGCCGCTTTGATGTCTTTGTGACACTGATGCACAGCAGGAGCGGCCGCCGCTCGCCCTCGCGCTGTATCGTGTACGCAATGGCGCCCGCTAGGACATTCGTGAGCGGGTGATCGCGCAAGCCCAACAGACACTCGCACGGCGTCGACGGCAGCGCGTCTGCGCTCTCCCAGCTGCTGCTGGGGCCCGCCTCCTGCGGGTCGTAGCGCAGCACCACGCCGGGAGCACACGTGTCGTCCTCCGTGACGAGAACCCAGATGTAGTCGGCAAAGCACTGCTGCGACACGTGCAGCAGCGAGCTGCCGTCGCCGTCTCCGTATGTGAAGGAGAGCTGGCGGAAGCGTACCAACGGTGCGCCGGTCTCCATGTCGCGGGAAATGCAAGCCGAGCGTGAGTCCACGCTGCTACGGACGGACACCGCAGGAACCTCTCAATGTGTGTGGGAGGGAGGAGGGGAAGGACAGGAGAAGGGGCAAATGACACCAACAGGCGCAGCCAAACACACACACACACACACACACACACACACCCAGTCAAAACGGTACGCAGTTGCATGACCCACACGCTTTCTCGTTGCCGAAGTCGTGCCGCCGCAGCGAGAGACCAACACACAGACACACAGTGAGGGAGGGATGGACGGAAAGAGCGAGATGCCAACGAAAACACAGAAAAAAATGCAAAGGCAAACGCTGCAAGCTTCATTCGCTCAGTCTTTTGTTATACTCCTCCGCTCCCATCACCTCAATTCTTATTTCGTGGTAGAACCGTTCATATCCGCGTCAATGCGCTGCAGGAACAAATCCGTCATGACCAACTCAAGCGAGCCACCCTCCGGCCGCTCCAGCGGGATCGGCTGCTGCTGCTCCCCCTTCCAGTACACCAACACCCGCTCTCGGTAGTTCTGCAGCATGTTCCCGACCACTGCGTCGCAGTTGTAGAGCTGAAGGTTCTTTAGGGACTTCTTCTTCATCGCCTCCTCCTCCGTCTCCAGCTTGAAGCTGATGAGGTACCGCGGCACGGCGCCGGACGACGCGTGCCAATCGTCGCTAATATCACCGAGCAGCTTCGGCACGTTATCGAACTCCACCGTGAGGCCATCGCCACCAGAAATCTTGTGGGTTGACATGCGGCTGAGGGGGATGTAGTAGTCCGACACGGCGGCCGCCGCGATGAGCATCATGGGCACCGCCTGCAGACACTCCGCGCGGTGACTAAACGTCGCGGTGAGCAGCCGCAGCAGGTAGAGGTACTCCACCACCGTGCGGTACGGCACGTGCAGAATGTGGTCGCGGTGCTGCTCGTACGCCTGCATCGCGGCGGCGACCTTCTGCGACCGCGTCGGTGCGGCGAGCTCAGCGAAGAGCTGCTCGGCGCTCATGAAGTCGAGGTGCCGCCGAAACGGGCGCGCGGAGCTCTCGTGGTGCAGAAACACACAGGCCCAGCCGCGCTGCAGCAGCGCCTCGACGAAGCCGGCACCGCGGCCACCGGAGCTGAAGTTGGTGAGGTAGCGCACTGCGTTGACCTCGATCGGGACGGCGGTGCCGCCGCTTGTGATAAGCGCAACACCGCGGCACGCGTGCTGCGCCACGTGCTGCGCGAAGTCCAGCGCTTTAGGGCCCCACTGCTGCAGCGACGCCAGCGTCGCCTCCGTCATGTTTTCCGCCAGGAACTGCGAGAACCTCTCACTCTGCATCTGCTGTGCTCAGTCTGCGCCCCGCCCTGACCCCTTCCTTCTTCCACTCCTAATTTTCGTTGTCGCCGCAACACGGGCGTGTGGGGAGAACAAAGCGGAGAAATGTATGAGGTGCAACTGTGACGCGCATTCACCCATCAACCCATCATCTCATATTTCCTCCCCTCAAACACACACACACACACACTCTCTCTCGCTCCCTCCGCCCCAATCACGCCCCACGCACGCTAGTCGAGGAGGTGCTCATTCCGCAGCGGCGGCGCTGGCCAGCTCCTCCCGCAGCTCCTCCGTGCAGTCCTGCAGCCGCTGCCTTGCCGCCCGCCTTGCCTGCCACAGCGGTAGCGCAGCCACGCGGAACGCCTGACAGCGCCGCTGCACCGCGCGTGGATCGTACGCCGCCTTTACGCCTGTCGGAAGCACAAAAGGCACCAGCTCTTCTTCGCCATCATCATCATCATCATTGTGACCATGCAGTCTGCGGCCTTCCTCCGCATCCTCCTCCTCTTCCTCCGCAGAGCACAGAGACGTGGCGTCGCGACACGAGACGTATGTGAGCGCCGTCTGCGACGACACAGGGATGAGATGCCGCACAACACAGTGCTCCGCGTCGTGCAGGCTTGCGTACGCACCACATCCCACCGCCGGTGCGGGCTTCCCGCCCTCAGTCGCATCGCCCGGCTTGGGCGCGTCCTGGGCATCGCCGTTTTCATGGTCTCTCACCCCTGTTGTTGTTGTTGTTGTTGCTGCCGCCTCTGCGACTGACGCGTCTACAGGTCGTGTGGCGCCGTCCGTGAGCGGCAGGGCGGTGCAGTGCTCCGCGAGTTGCTGCAGCAGCAGGACGGAGATACGGTAGTGCTCTTGCTCGAGCTGCTGCACCTGATCGATCCACGCGTAGAGAAACCGGTGCAGTCCACTGCCGCCCTCCGCTTCCTCTCNGCTGTCGTCCTGCAGCTGACGCAGCGAAGAACTAACCTGCTGGAATGCCGCGACAATGGTGTCGCTGAGTGTTGCGTCAAATTCCGCCACACCCAATGCGCCCGACAGAGCGCGGTGGAACTTGGCGTCCCACAGCTGGTACACCTCGCAGCGGGTGTGCTGCAGCTGCAGCGCCTTAGTGAGGCACTCCGCACCGCGGTGCATGGACGGCCCTGGTCCTATCTCGCACGCGTGTTTTCTCAAATGCACTGCGCGTATGTGTGTGTGTGTGTGTGGAAGGAAAGAGAGAGGGAGAGAGGGATCCGCATGCGTAGATGTCATGAAGCACACATGTTTTTTTGGTGCCTGATACTGTGGTTTAACCCCCCAAACCAAGAGGAGGAGGAAGGCAGGGAGAGTCTGCACATCACACACACCAGGCAAGTCTTCTTCTCCCCGCTAAGCCAGCAAAAAAAGGGGGGGGGGGAAACCGAGTGTGAGCGTGGTGCTACATCGGCTGCTGGCCCCTCACGGCAGCAGCAATGAATAGGCGACAGAAGGTGAGAGACGAACAGACACTGGGAAGAGAGAAAAAAAAA